CTCATAAAAATAATCTAATCAAATCAAAATAAATGAAATCAAATCCAGGCAGTGCAGTGCAGGAGGAGAAAGACAGACAGACGCCTGCGGACTGCTAAGCCACGCACAGGTCTGGTTTCCAGCGCACTGCACAGCCGGGCCATAGACAGCTGCTTACTGCCACACCACGCAGCAGCAATGGAGGCTGTCACCCACCCAGGGGCCTGCAAGCTGTGTGGCCGCTCTGCAGCCGGGCCACCACAATGTGTGAGTGCTCATGGTCAGATGGGAAAGAAAGAGAAGAGGAGCATTATGAAGTGACACGGAACTAGGGTGGAGAGGAGCAGTCCGTTGTGAATGGGTAGCCGTGCTGCCCGTGGCCATGGTGAGGGTCTAGCCAGAGCTGCTGCTGAGGCCCAGGTCTGAGTACCTGGCTATGCAAATGGCGGGCGGGGGTGTTGATGTCTGTGGCTCATATTGCCACTAAAGAACGTGGGGCTGTCCCTGGTTGGGGCAGCCACCGGGACCGCATGGGTGTCCAGGGGCTGTGCACAACTGGACCTGCCCCTCACTGATATGGTGCTCTGGAGAGCAGGCCCCAGGTCCCACCCCTGGTGGCACGAGGGAGAGTGGGCCCTGCACCTCACCTGGAGAGGACAGCAGAGCTGACTCCGGTGGTAGGGTGCAGGTGAGTCAGCCCCGAGGGCAAGAACAGGGCAGCTGATCCTGACTCCTGCTAATGGCAGCATTGGGGGACCTAGCTGGAGCAAGGTTGGAGAGCTAGCCCTGGTGGTACAGGTAAGGGAGAGCCAGAAACCTGATAAGCTCAGCTACCACCCAGGCCCAGATCCAGGGCTCTGAATTAGCCCACCCCAGAATCTATATGATCTGTGAATGGTTGGTGACTGAAATAACAGAATGAGCTAATGGCCAAACAAAATTATAATATATAAAAACAGGTTTATTGGAAGCAACTTTTGGCTAAAGAGACAGAGAGGAAGAAGGAGGAGAGGAGGAGAGATTCAGAAAGAGAGAGAGAGAGAGGAACCGAAATGTCTGGATTACACAGTGAAGAGCCTCTGGGAGAGGGGAAGCCTGACCCCTGGGCTGGGGAATTCAGGACAGAGGAGAGAGTATGACAGCGATGCCCTGCAGCAGGCAGGGACCTAGGGATGCCTGAAACCAAACATCCCAGCCATTTGTTGATAATAAACGAGTAAGGGGCAAAATAATTAATCATCTCTGGCTTCTTCCTGCTGACATGGAGGGCATCGATATTGGGAAAGTGCCAAAGGCTGGAATGTTGGCGGAGTCTGGGAAGAGCAGGTTGTTCTAGCTGCTGTCCAGGATCTGTGAGGCCATCTGCGGCTAGGAAACTGCAGGCCCAGCTTGCAGTTGTTAGGATCCGTAGGCAGGCATCTCTGTGGCCAGTCCCCAGGGGACCTGACAAATGGGACACCAGGCATCTGTGAGGCCACCTTCGGACCACCTACAACCACCTGTGCATGTACTGGGTCACCTTCTGAGAGGACTCGCCCCTCTGTTACCTCCCTTCCCCTAATAAAACCTCCCACATGGAACCAGTCACGCTGCATGATTTATTAACCCGCTGTATGACTCCCCCGAACAATCCTAACAACAGTCTGTGAAGTTTAGGCCGAGCACCTGTGTTCTGGATACAGCTCTTGAGGAAACACCGGAACCTGGCAGGATGCTGGAACATGTGTACGTATAAGGGGCAGAATATACATTTGGGACTTTTAGGCCCAAGGATTTGGTAGTTGGCAGGGGAGGGATAGGCAGATAGGCAAGGAAACAGGGTGACAGCACTTATCTAGGGTACCTTTGTCCGGAGAGAAGTGTATTCCCTGGAGCTTCCAAGAATCTAAGTTTACAAAATGTGGGGCTCTCCTGGGTTAGTCGTTCATCTCCAGATAGCCAATCATTTGTGCTCTGTGACAGTAGAATCCTTTTTCTCAGCAGGGTTCTGACTTCTCCTTTATCTGGGTAATTCCAGGCCTTGTAAAGAGGTCACATGGCCCCCAGGGCAGATTTCAGGCTAGACCCTTCCCCTGATAAGGAAACTGCTCTAGCAAGCATCTAGGAATTCCTAGAAATACCCAATCCTGCTAAGGATCTTAGTCTAGCAACAACCTTCACTTGTACCTGGAAATCTGACATCCCCCCCCCCCCCGGGTAATTAAGTACTGAATTTTGCTTCTTGTGATAGGACCATTAAGTACCTCTGAACCGAGTGAATCAAACACATTCACCCTTGAAATCCCTTCTTTCTGCCCAGGGTTTATATTGCCCTTGATTTCACATGATTAACAGTAAGAAGATTCTGCTTCTCATTTCAAGACCATCTGCGATTCATCATTTATCCTTTGCCAGGCCCTGTCACGCTGGGCCTGCCCTCCTGCCTGCTGGGTCTGGGGCCCCCTGGGCCAGGGCCTCACCAGGCCTGTGTCTTAGCTGCAAGCTGACCAGGCATGGGCCTCGGCCCGCACCTCTGCCACACTCAGCACAGCAGCTTGACCAAGAGCTGTAACACTCTGGTGTCACCACAGGCTTTGGACTGCCTGAGCTTCCATCGCCGCTGGCTGTCTCATGCTAAGTGAGCCAAACTGTGACAGCTAAACCTTTCCTACACCCAGGCTTAGTGCACTTGGGCCTCACCCCAGAAAGAAACAGAACCCCTGTTCTCTGTCCAGAAGCCAGGACCCCGCCGAATGAAGAAAGGCAACAAAAAGAGACAAATTTTAAATATGTTAGCATCACCTCTAGCCTTCATAACTTGCATTTACCAACCTTAAAACACCTTCTTAGACCCTTGAACACTTTCTTAGATCCTCAGGCCTTACATAAACTTTACGCTCCTCTGAGAGAGCAGCAGAAGTCTTGGTTTCTGCTGTTAAACTAATCTTCAGACTCATCAGAGACCTGTGAAGAATAAATTACCACAGGGAGCATAATCAGAGTAGCCTATGTATTTGATTAATATGACAGAGGCTTACCCACTAGGCTCCTGTGGTGCCAACAGGGGGCTTTGTTGTGGGCACAGGCCCTAGGGCAGCATCAAGTCTCTGGCTGCCAGGCCCAGCAAATCTGAGAGTCCTTTCTGTGAAAGAGGAGCTTAGGAGAACAACTGATCTTATTTTGTCTAGGCAAAACGTGGCAGTCGACTCTCTGGGTGTCCTCTTTGTCCACAGTTCAGGCTGGGCCTTAGCTGGTCCTGGAGCCCAAGTGGAGAGAGCTTTTGCTCCCTTTTCAAAAATGTGCAATTTCCAGGGTGTTGTAAAGTTTTGCTCTCTTTGAAGCCTGGGCTGTGGCTCTCTTGACACGCTCATTCACAGCCCTGGTCAGTGCATGTCAGTGTGACTGGGGGTGAGTGCTGAGACATTCACCCAACAGTAGCAAGGGCCAGAGCTGAGCAAGTCGGATGAATTGGCCACTCGATTTTCCACTATGCATGTGGACTAGGGCCAGAGGATGATACCTAGTTTTGACCTCTTACCCTCACACTCATGGATGCACACATAGACCTATATGCAACAGCATGTGCATATAACACACACACACACACACACACACACACACACACACACACACACAGACACACACACACCCAGAGTGAGGTATGATGGTCTGCTTGTAGTCCTAGCACCTAGGCAGCAGGGAAGGACGTTGGAGGTTAGTCTGTGTCAAGCATAGATGTTGGAGAGATGGCTTAAGGTTTCGGGGTGCTTGCTGGTCTTGCAGAGGATCTGAGCTCTGTTCCTAGCACTGCCCTCACTGGGTGACTCTCAGGCATCTGTACCTCCAGCTCCAGGGGATCCAGCGCCCTCTTCTGGACGGCGGGCACCCGCAGCGTACACACACTCTGCCACCACGCACATAATTAAAAAATCAAACAGTTGTTGTTGTTTGAGACAGGGGCTCACTGTCTAGCTCTGGCTGTCCTGAAAATTACTACGTAGACCAAGCTGGCCTTGAACTCACAGAGATCTGTGTGCCGATGCCTCCTGAGTGCTGGATTAAAGGTGTGCACCACCACTGCAGAGCCACAAGTAAAATAAATCTTAAAACCAAACCAAACCAAACCAAACCCAAAGGCAAGCACAAAAAAGCAAACTAAACCCAGAGAAGTGTGAAAACCACCCCCAGCTTGCCAGCTATACAAAACCAGGCTGTGGACTGCCTTTGACCTGTGGGCTGCAGTTGGTAAACCCGGGTCTATAACACGTTTAGAGCAATATCATGTCCTTGTCAAGACCAGGGTTCAGGGTTCTGATCCCAGTTACCACAGCAGCGGCTTTACCTTTCAAATCCCAGTTTTCCTGGCAGCAAGCGCCACATTTCTTATCTTCTAGGGACAGTGTTTAAGTTGCCTGGCATGGTAGTTCATGCCTTTAATCTTAGCACTTGGCAGGAATCCCAGGGATATCAACCAAACATGACATAACAAGATACAGTAAGACTAGGTACAAACCCTCCTTTCAGGGCTCTGCAAGGCAACCCAATGACAAAAAGAGCCCTAAGAAGAGCAGGCAAAGGAACTTTTAATCCTTCATGGGTTTTCTTCTGGATACAGGATGGGTCACGAACCTGACATTTTGAGACATGGTCTTTGCCAGTCATTAACTCTTCCCAAATGAACCACAGGGGTTTTCTAGTCCTCCTGCATAAAAACAAAACAAAACAAAACAAAACAAAAAAAACATAACCTTTCTATCCAGGCGTTGCACGCCCGTCATTCCACCACTCAGGAGGCTGAGACCTTGAACTTGGGTCCTCTGTAAGAGCCCCGAGTGCTTTTAACCACAGCCCGTCTGGGTCTTTGTGACACATTTGCCATGTTGTGCTGTAAGGTTTTATTAGGCATCTGTATTCCATGCTAGACTCCGTACAATTTGAGAACAGTTGGGGGTTCATCTCTGTATTCCAGGAGGTTCATCTCTCTATCCCAAGGCCCTTGCGGCGGTCCTGAAATGCAGCGGGCACCCAGGTACTGTTCTACACTAGGACTGGCGTGAGACTGCTTTGCTACCAAGCTTCCTCAGGGCTGCCTTCATGTCTTTGTTCCTTAGGCTGTAGATGAAGGGGTTCAGCGTGGGGATGACCACCCCACACATTAACGCGGCTGTCTTGTCTTTCTGGGATGAGGTGGGGGACGCTGGCTGTAAGTACATGGTAAAGATGGTCCCGTAGAACAGTGACACCACAGTGAGGTGTGAGCCGCAAGTGGAGAAGGCTTTCCACTTGCCCTGAGCAGAAGGGATTCGGAAGACTGCCCTGAAAATGCAGATGTAGGAGACTAGGATGCAGAACAGTGGGCTAAGGCCCATGACGATGCCGAAAGCAAAGATCACCAGCTCATTGGTGTGTGTGTCTGAGCAGGAGAGTTTCAGGAGGGGCATGAGGTCACAGAAGAAGTGAGGGATTTCTGACCCTGCACAGAAGGTCAGTTGGGCCATGAGACAAGTGTGTACCAGGGACTGGAGATTAGTAATAACCCATGACCCACCCACCAGTAGCCCACAGACACGTGGGTTCATGAGTACTGAATAGCGCAGTGGGTAGGCAATGGCCACCAGCCGGTCAGTGGCCATCACTGCCAGGAGGAAGCTGTCTATAGTCCCGAAGAGATGGAAGGCATACATTTGGGCAAGGCAGCCTGCAAAAGGGATGGCTCTACTCTGGGTCTGGATGTTCACCAGCATCTTGGGGACGGTAGTGGAGGAGAAAAAGATGTCCACGAGGGACAAGTTACACAGAAAGAAGTACATGGGTGTGTGCAGATGAGAGTCTGAGATGATGGCCAGGATGATGAGCAGGTTCCCAAAGACGGTGACCAGATACATGGACAGGAACAGTCCAAAAAGGATGGGCTGCAAGTCTGGAGCCTCTGAAAGTCCCATGAGATGGAATTCCAAGACTGTTGTCTGGTTTCCTGGTGCCATAGAGAGCTTATGTCTACAGAAACAGAAAGGGATGGAAGCAACATGGAGCTAGAGTCAGAGATGGGACTCTAGTCCTGTGGAAACTTTCAAGATTCTGTGAAGATGCATCCTTTGAGCAAAAATTTTAAAGCTACTCCCAGGGGGCTCTGTAATCTCAAAGCTGTCTAAGTCGGAGGCAATTAGTGTCTCAAATTTCTAACTTAGGAACATCAACTTGGGTGTTGTCCAAGTTGGGTGACCTTTGCCTATGGTTCAGTTCTGGAAAGTTCCACAAATACCAGTATGGTAAAAGCTCAGATGGCCAGCCTGTGGGAGGTTGTAGAAGGTGGTTTCTGGGACTGGAGAGGTGGCTTAGCAGTTGAGAAGACACGTACTGTTCTTGCAGAGGCCCTGGGTTTGATTCCTAGCACTCACATTGGGTAGCCGTCAAACCACTGAATAGATCTCCATAATGCTCTCCTACTGTGATGTAACAGGGCCAACTGACCACAAACTGAAACCTCTGAAACCTTGAGCCAGAATAATCCTTTCCTCCATTTTCAATTGATTATCTCAGGTCCCTTGGGATAATACCTGAAACCTAATATAAGTCAAATCTCAACTCCAATCCTTTACACTAATAGGAACCTGGCATCTCCTTTTATTTCTTTTCCCAGACCTCTCTTCCTCCTCTTTTACATTTCTACTAACAAGAAATAATTTGAAGGCCGGAGAGTGTCTGTTAAAAGCACTTTCTGTTGGACATGGTGGCGCACACCTTTAATCCCAGCCCTCGGGAGGCAGAGGCAGGTGGATCTCTGAGTTCATGGCCAGCCTAGTTTACAGAACAAGTCCAGGGCAGCCAAAGCTACACAGAGAAACCCTTTCTCAAAACCAAACCCAAACAAACAAAACTCTGGAGGAAAGCGGTGCGGTGGTTTGAGAAAGAATGGCGCCCATAGGCTCATATATTTGAATGCTTGGTCTTTAGGGGTTGGCACTACTTGATAGAGATTAGGAGGTATGGCCTTGTTGGAGTCGGTGTGGCGAGTGCCTTATTGGAGGATGGGTGTCACAGGGGGTAGGCTTTGGGGTTTCAAGCCAGGCCCATGTCTTTCTCTTCTTGCAGATCTGGATAAGGACTCTCAGCTCCTTCCAGCACCATGACGGCCTGCTTCCTGTCATGCTGGTAATGGGCTAAAGCTCGGACACCGCAAACACATGCTCATTAAATGCTTTCCTGTCTAAGGGTTGCATGCTCATGGTAGCTCTTCAAGGCACTTGAACACTGGCCAAGTCCTAGCTCATGGAGAGCATGAGTTTGGTTCTTAGCCACCCGCCCTGGGAAGCTAGTGTAATTCTAGTTCCGGAGGATCTGAGCATCCTTCTTCAGCCTCTGCACTCACAAGTACAAACACACAGGCACACCAAGTTAAAAAAAAAGAAATAAAAATCCTTAAAAAGGGACAATTTGAGTGTCCATTTTGTGTTAAGAGTAAGTAAATGAATAGTGGTGCAGTGTCTCTATGCAAGAAGCCCTGGATTTTATCTCCAGTATCACAAAAGAATGTGTGCATAAACTGTGTGTATACAAGTACACAGTGAAATGCATGCTATTCAACTGCAAAAAAAGGGAAATGTTATCATTCGCCACAATATGTATGAACCCAGAAAAGGCTATGCTAAATAAAAATAAAAGAAACGCCACATAATTTCACTTATATCTGAAAGGGTTGAATTAATAGAAGCAGGTGGTAGAATGGCAGTTAGCGGAGTTTGGTAAGGGTGAGGGCTAGAATTGGTCTAAAGATTTGAATTTTCAGTTAGGCATGAAGTTAAAGAGCTCTATTATATGACAGCTAATAACGCAAATCACATCCTTGAAAGTTGCTGGGATTGGAGAAGTGGATCGGTGATGAAGAGCAGCTACCACTCTTGCAGAGGACCAGAGTTCAGTTGGCAACAACCATGTGGGGGGGGGGCTGCCAGCTGCCTGTAATTCCAGTTCCAGGGGATTTGATGCCCTCTTCTGGCCTCTGCTGACACCTGCACACACATGGATACACACACACACACACACACACACACACACACACACACACACACAGACAGATAAACATAAAATTTAAAAGAAAAATTACCTAGAAAGTGCCGGTGTTATGCATTTGTTCCTTTGCCTAATTAGCTGCTCTGAAATATATGCAGATTATAAAATATCATGTGCTTTAAATATTGTGTTGAGGGCTAGAGGCAAGCTCAGTGGTGGAGCCCTTGCCTAACCTGTGCCTGACCCTGGGTTTGATCCTCACCACTGAAGAGAATTTCTGTTTACTTTCACTTAACATTTAATTGCATAATACAATTACAGTAACAACTCCAACCAGCAAAATCTGGTTTAAAATGGCACAATTCAGTTGATGTCAGCAGAACCATGCAGGCAAGCACAGGAGACAGTTTAGCTTGGGTTTCCCATCTGATTTGGGGTTATGCGCCCCACCAACCATGACAGCCAAATTTCTTCCCCTGTGTGTTCTATGCACCCATATCCAGACAGCACCAGACACCCTTAGTATCCTCCTAAGCCTCCCCCCACGCCAGAACGCATGTCCTCCCATCTTTGAACCGTGCTGTAAGTTTTCCCGCCCCTACCAACAATCAAGCCTAGACAGTTTCTATTCAACTGTATTCTCAACATTTCCATATTTGAAGAACAGAAGGGCTGATCCAGACTGAACCGGTTTTGGTTACGAGGCACATTAAGGCAGAACTGTACCCTCAAGTAACATTTTAGGAGACTCTTCTATTCACCACTGTTAGGCCTACGCATGCTTGGACGCACATATTGTTAAAATCAGATGCGGTATTGGAAGGGACATGTGCAGTGAAGGAATGACCATATAAACTGATCTGTCAATCAAAATAGAGACCCGCCCAAACTGCTCCCCTTTCTAAACAGACCCCTCTGGAAGCCCATAAAGGGAAACCCTGAACAGTAACTGGGCTCCTGAGTACTCTCACTAGCCTGGCTTGCTGTTAAGTCTTTGCTCTGAGTAGTTTTCTTGATTTTTCTGCAAGTTTGTGTAGGTCCCTTTCTTTTAAAAAGAGATTTTATTTATTATGTATTCAAAGTTCTGCCTGCAAGTACACCTGCACGCCAAAAGGGGGCATCAGATCTCATTATAGATGGTTGTGAGCCACCATGTGGTTGCTGGGAATTGAACTCAGGGCCTCTGAAAGGGCAGCCAGTGCCCTTAACCTCTGAGCCATCTCTCCACACCTGGACACTTATTTTCAATTCTTAAGATAAGAGGCCAAGAAACCTGGAATCATCTGGCCGGGATGCAGACCACCAATCAGTGCCTAAAGCTTAGTTGGTAGAGCACTTGAGCATGCCTCAAGACCTGTATTCACTCCGGAGTCCTTCGGAGACTGGTCGTGTTGGTGCACGCCTTTAACCGTAGAAGTCGGGAGGTGGAGGCAGGAAGTTGAAGAGCTCAAGGCCGTGCTTGCTGTGTGAGAGTTTCAGGCCAGCCTTGGTACAGACCGTCTTAAAACCAGACAAACCAACCAACCAAATAAACAACAAGCAGTTCTTTCTTGTAGCCATAGACTCCTTCCGTCCCTCAGTGCCCACATTTACCCTTCATGCACCTCAATAAACACTTAGGCAGAAGGTGGGAGGCGCCAGGTTCCCTCTGCTTCTCTTAAGGTGAGATGCTGAAGCATGTGGTAATGGTGCACGCCTGTAATTTCAGAACCTTGGAGGCTGGTGCAGGGGAACTGTGAGTTGCCAGTCACTCTGGGCTACGAAGAGAGACTGTCCCTCAGAACAAGACGCCCCTCACCATGGTCTCCCAAAACTGCAGTGTCATCTCTTTGCAGTGGTGGTAGGGCTCTTGCTATACTCTCTTCCACCTGCTCAGGTGGGCACTTATGCTTTTAGTATTCTCAAATTTTGTTTTTCGTCATTGCATGGAATTAAAAATTTTACTTCTACTTATTTTTGAAAAATGATTGCTTTATTTCTTTAGTGTGTGCAAGTGTGTAGGTATACTTACCAGGGCCTAACTGGAGGTCAGACTGCTTGTGGGAGTCAATTCTTTCCTCTCACCAGGGGTACCTGGCTATCAAACTCCAGTTATCAAGCTTGTCAACAATCACCTTTATTCACTGAGCCATCTTGTTGGCCCAGAGATTTTATTTTACTTTTGTTGGTTAAATTTGTTCTTTGCTAACCCCATGCATACATATAGTGAATTCTGTGTGTTCTCACCTATATCTTTTTCAAACCAGTTCCCAACAATGATCAGAGGGATTTAATGATAATATTTATAACTATTGACTTTTGTTTTTGTTTTTTGTTTTGGTGGTGGTGGTGCTGCAGATTGAACCTAAGTCTTCAGGCACACCAGGCAAGGGCTCTGCAACCAAACTAAAGCTCCTGGCTGAGCTGACCCCACAGTTTCTTTGTAAGTGGAGGGACTCCAGTGCCATGGTGCACATTCGGAGGTCAGAGGACAACTAGGGGAAGTTTCTCTTCTTCCACCATTTGGCTGGGGAATTCTGGGACTTGAGCTCAGGTTGTCTTGCAAGCCCCTTTACCTGCTGAGACAAAACCCCAAACCTCATTCTTTCCTTAAAGTTTATGTAGAGCTGTCAACTCTGAAGTTGAGGGGGCTGCTGGGATCACTCAGCTTAAAAATACCCAGTCTCTGTCTCTCTCTCTCTCTCTGTGTGTGTGTGTGTGTGTGTGCGCGTGCGCGCGATCTGGGGGTTGAGCCTGGAGCCTTGCACAAGCTAGGCAAGTACTCTCTGCTATTGAGTTTTATCGTCAGCTCATGCTTTACTTTTTCTTTCAAGACACCATCTCACCAGCTTGTCCAGGCTGGTCATGACCTCACTCGATAGCCCAGGCTGGTGTGAAAGGCATGACCCTGCCTCAGCCTCCTGAGCGGCTGGGATTGCAGCTCTGTACCCCAAGGCCTGACACTGAAAATAAACACTGCTCTATTTCCACCATG